ATGTTCCTGCAAAAAAAAGCTTCTGAAGACTTTCATTCCAAAGTCATACATACACCGATTACTCGCTCTCTGTCTGTCATCCTCTCTCTCTCTCTTTCTCTCTCTCTCATTCTCTCTTTCTCTCCGTGTCTCTCTTTTAGTACTCCTTTCTTTTCATTAGCTCATTCAGCTGTTGCCTTTACCCCCTTTTTTCTTGTTTATTAGCAGGACTTTTTTTTTGCTTCAGAGTTTGAGCTCAGTCCTACCTCATCACTTGACTGTTTGCATATTATTCTTACGAACAATAACGAAATAGAAACATTCCTTTTTTTTATGAACTGAATCACATCGTTAATTCACTCATCTGTATCTGACGATGACATGCCACCAGATTCTTTCGCATCTATTTACTTCAGAACGCAGCTATTTCATGTATAATGAGTGTCACAGTGAAGAAATGCGTTGGTTAAACGCGTCTGCCCAGCTGCTGGTAATGAGTTCATAACGTGGGTCGATGAGTGAAAATAATATTTTTTTTTAAATGCCATCACCCTCCAGGACGAAGGTGATCATGTCTCTCGAGAAATTTCTTTTTATTATTACTTCCGAATTGCTGTTACTCTTTGTGGGTGGGTGGAAACTATGAAGTATGTTTATTTACGTTGTTTTTTCGTTGAATTCTTCAAAATTTAGAGTTCATATTAGTCATTCTACTTTACTAGCTTCCATCCCGACCCCTCAAAGACAGTAGGTTTAGCCTATTTAATCCATAGTTGGATGGGTAGAAAAATAGTGAAGTCATTTTTTTTCAAAGACCAATAATGTAAAAGTAAACGCAACTAATTATCACTGAACGTCAAATAGTGTCATCGATTACACTTTCTGAACCGATAACCATTAAACTCCCCAAAAACTTCTAAAAATCATAGTATGCCGTAGTAGGAATCATGGAGTCATTGTAAACTCACACGACCCTTTCCTTAGCTGCATAATATGTACTTTGCCGGTTTGGGTGGGCTGCTTGCTACATGAATAACGTAGGCCCCTTGCCAGGAAGTTTACCATAGAAACCCCTACCTGTGAAGCCCATATGCTTTTAAAAGGCTGGTTAGCTGGCCTAGTAACTCTCATCGCTCCAATGACAACATGATCTATTGCTATCCTGTCCAGCCTGATTTCACTTGCAATCGATGCGATACATTGTGCAGGTAAACAAGTGAACTTTCTCGCCATTACAAGATATTGTAGAAAGCATGCTTGGAAAACTTGTGGCTTAAAATATACGGCACTCATTGACGTTATATCAGAGACAAGAAAACCAACAATAAAATCATGGTTGAACTCGGATACTAGTTAATTTTCGGTTATTAGTCTATATGAAAGACGCTAAATGATTATTTTATGTTGTTCATGATGACGGTCGTCTTTGAGAAATAGAATCCAGAGGTTAGCAGTGAATATTTCGAAGACAGTAAGGAAGCGTAGTTCAGGTTAGCAGTTGATATCCCGGTAAAAGTAGCAGAGCGTAGTTATTCCTTCTGTTTCTCTTCGCCTGACAAGCTGGTACTGGATATTCGGATAAAGTAAACAAAATGGCCGCCTTTATACACGACGGATTGAATATTCTACGTCTTCTGATTGGTTAACCTTTTATTGGTGGACTATAAAATGACTCAAGTCATTTGGACTGTCTCACTAGTACATAATGTATCCAAAAATTGTAACATTTTACCCCTTTTTTTCTTTTTTTTACAATAATGTTCACGATATCCAAGACTCAAGAACAACTCGATGTACAGGGTTACAGAGGAGGAGGTATAATTTATGAGGATATATTGGAAAAATATAGGTTAAACCTGGGACTTGCACAAGATTGTATTGATCAGGGAAATAATCTCTTGGGAGTCAGTTGTACAAAGCAGCGCTTAGTCAGTAGTAGCTGCTCAAATAAAACTAACATCCTACCAATGGAATACAAAGAGAATAAGGCGGTTGTTTCTACGATGTGTGTGGCATGGTGGGTCTTAGCCATAAAGGTTAGAACTGGTTAATTTAATGAATTAATGGATGTAGTTCGTCTGAATATTTTTACTGGAAATAGAGCAGCGATACGCTTCCAACGCTTTTTTTGTGCGAGAGAGATTGTAGAATAGGAAAAAAATTATCGCAGACAAAGATTCTATCAAGACTGTGCAGCTCCTGCCCGTATATGGCACTCTATTTTCGGCCTTATCTGGCTATTGTAAAGGTAGAAGATAGCAATAGGGGTCAGTTGCTTACAGCGGCGGTACAGGAATCTGACCATTCTTCAAATATCTTCAGCGATGGATGGTGTGTACAAGTTCCACTCGAGGTCTCTGTAATATTTCGGTGCTCCGTGCAGAGAAAATAATAATCTTTTGGCGTGGTTCTCCATGTAGCATCAGATATTTTCGACGAAATTAACTGGCATATGAATTGGTGTGAAATGTGTGAATGTGTTTTGAACGTGTTAGGATGTGCTTAATTTTGTAACATGTTTGTGTTCGGTGGGTATTATGGTTAGTGAGGGTGTGTGTGTTTTGTGTGCAACAAAAATAAAACGGGTGTGGTCTGACTTACAAGAAACGGGACGCGGTGTGAGATTAGAGTCGATAGTAGCGGGGATGCTGGCGCGTGTAGGTAGTGATGGTGTAGGAAATGGTGAATTCGATGGTGGTGGTGTCGATGGCACAAGGTCACGGATGCTTTTCGGGCGGTATGCGTCAGAATAAATTATAAAGGAGCAAAACAGCCCGTGAGAAGCGAAATAGTGGGAGAAGATAAGGCAACGTTGGGGAGAGAAGATGAAGTAAAAAAGAAAAATGATGCGGAAAAAATCAAAATAAAAGAAAAATGAAAACAGACTGGAAACGAAAAAAAAAGAACAAGATGTCGGTTTGAGAAATAATTGAAACCTAAGAACATAATGAATGAATGAAACGCTTAAAACAACAATAAGGAAATCAATGATAATATTAATGAGGAGAGTGAAAAGAAGGAACAAGTGAAACGGAAGGTAAAAGGTGGTAATATAATCGGAACGACAAAAAAGAAGAAGACGAAGTTGAAGAAGAAGAAGAAGAAGAAAAAGAAGAAGAAGAAGACGAAGAAGAAGATGACCATTGAGAAGACGAAGAAGTTGTAGGCAGAAAAGAAGACGAAGAAGATGAAGATGAAGAAGATGATGAAGAAGATGAAGATGATGATGAAGTTTAATAATAAGAAGAAGATGACAATGAAGAAGAAGAAGATGAAGAAAGAAAGAGAAAAAGACGAAGAAGATGAAGATGATGAGGATGAACAAGAAGAGGAAGAAAAGACAAAGAAGATGAAGACAAAGCCGAAAAAGAAGCGGAAGGAGATGAAGATGAAGAAGATTATGATGATGAAGAAGAAGACGAAGAAAATAAAGAAGAAGAAGAAGAAGAAGAAGAAGAAGAAGAAGAAGAAGAAGAAGAAGAGCAACAACAACAATTTTCTAAAATCTTTTGAAGGATTTATTAATTTACTTTTTACGGCTTATCAACCGTGGGTTAATTAAGCCGAAACAAATTTTTTTTTTTTGGGGGGCAAATTAAAATGAAATTCTTTTTTAACAATAATATTAATTTTTCCCGATACTAATCAAGCTATTTAACCCGTTGCTAGAGGGAGGAGATAAATACGTACTTTTGGCAAGTTTATTTGCAAGTAACTGAATGTAACTAGCCGAGCTCGAGTTCAAACTCGGCTCTTCGATTTCTCCTTCTGAGTCACTACCCATTGCACCAACTGCACACCCTTTCTTACGACCAAACTTAGTAGAGAAGAAGAAAAATAAACGAGAACAGAAAAAGTGAAAAATAAAAAAAACAAATTTGACAAAATCAAAAAGGGAAAACAAAAAAAGCGGAGGAAAAGAAAAAAGAAATGTCTTAGTATGATTTAATGACAAACGCTAGACTGATGCGTATACGCAGGTAGGGTAAAGGATATCGGTGCCGAAATTGGAATCACCGAACCATGTTCAAATCTGAATTGGTGTGTTTTCTTCGTCTCCGAAAAAAAAAACCCAAAAAAACAAATCCTCTTCCCAGCCCCAGTTCTGGGTCAAATAGATGGTCGGCAAGGTTTTCTAGTCTTTGTTGGCAACCAGTCTAGGAGAACGCCTACAATGACTCGAAAAAAAAAACGGAAACTACTCCCCTATCATTCTCAAGAAGAATGGAATCTGGAGAAAGAGAGTTCTTTTTGTTGTTGCTCTTCTTCTTCTTCTTCTTCTTCTTCTTCTTTCAGTCCTTGTTGCTACCGATTATGTTACACATTTTATCCGACCTTTTCACTTGTCTTATCTTTTCTTTCATTCTCGTCACTATTAACATAGTTTTCCTTCTCGTGGTTTTAAGTATATATTTTACGCCGTGAAAGGACATGGCATTTATAAAAGTGAATTCGATCTTTACCTTATAAGCAATGCAAGCGGCCTTCTGCCAATATCTATGCTCATCCTAGTATATTAGAAAGAAATATTATGAGAGGGAACGAGGCAAATATAGAAAAAGAAAGGCAGGAAAAGAAAAAATCGAAAAAAAAGCAAATAAATAGAAAGATAGAAAGAAAGATAGAAAGAAGGGAGGTAAAAATAAGACATGAAGGAAAAGAATGAGAATAAGAAAGTAAAAGGAATGAGGAAATGGAAAGAAACAAGATGAAGAATAAGAAAAGTGAGGAATTGAAGAAGAAATTACGAAAGGGAATCAGCATAAGAAATACGGAACAATAAAAAAGGAAATTTAAAAAAAGAACAAAAACAGGCGTGAACAAGAATGAATGAAGACTGAAAAAGAAAGAGAATAGAAAAGAAAGAGAATGAGAAAAGTAAGAGAACGAAAAAGAAACGATAAAAGAAAGAGAGCGAGAAAAGAGAATGAGAAAAAAAGAGAACGAGAAAGCGAAAAGAAAAAGAACGAAAAAGAAAGGAAACAAGGAAAGAAAGAGAACGAAAAAAGAAAAATAACGAAAAAAAGAAAGAAAACAGAAAAAGAAAGAGAACGAGAAAAGAAAAATAACTAGAAAAGAAAGAGACCAAAAGAGAAAGAGAAAAGGAAAAGAGAACGAGAAAAGAGAGAGAGAAAGATACAGAGAGAACGAAGAAAGAAAGGAAACGAAAAAAATGAAGCGGACGAGAAGAGAAGGAGAACGAAAAAAAGAAAGGGAACGAGAAACAAAAGAGAACGAAAAAAGAAAAAGGATAAAAAAAGAAAGAAAATGGTAATAGAAAGCTAACAAGACAAGAAAGAAAAACTAAAGAGAACGAGAAAAGAAAGTAAAAGAGAAAATAAAGATTACGGGAAAAGATAAAGAACGTGAAAAGAAAGGGAACGAGAAAAGAAAAAGAAAGAAGAAAGAAAGAGAATAAAACAAGTATGAGAACGAAAAAAGAAAGATAACGATAAAGAAAGAAAACGTGAAAAGAAAGAGAAAGAAAGAAAAGTAAAAGAAAGGGAACGAAAAAAAGAGAACGAGCGAAGAACGAAGACTGGAAGAAAGAGAACGATAGAGAAAGAGAACAAAGCATATAGAACGATAAAACAAAGGGAACAAAGAAAGTGAATGAGAAAAGCGAGAGAACGAAGATACAGAGAGGACGAAGAAAGAAAGAAAGAAAGAAAGAAAGAAAGAAAGAAAGAAAGAAAGAAAGAAAGCGGGAAAAGAAAGAGAACGAAAAATAAAGAGAAAAGAAACAGAATGAAAAAAAAGAAAACGATAAAAGAAAGAGAACAAGACAAGAAGGAGAACGAAAAAATATACGGAACGATAAAAAGAGAACGAGAAGAGAAAGAAGACTTTGAAAAGAAAGAAAACAAAGAAGAAAGAGCACGATAGAGAAAGAGAATAAAACATATAGAGCGATAAAAGAAAGGGAACAAAGAAAGGGAATGAGAAAAGCGAGAGAACGAGGATACAGAGAGAACAAAGAAAGAAAGAAAGAAAGAAAGAAAGAAAGAAAGAATGGTTGAAAGCGGCAAAAGAAAGAGAACGAAAAATAAAAAAGAAAGAGAAAAGAAATAGAACGAAAAAAAAAAAGAAAACGATAAAAGAAAGAGAACAAGACAAGAAGGAGAACGGGAAGAAAAAGTCATCGGGAAAAGAGTGATAACAAAAAATAAAGAACAAGATTAGAGACAGAACGAAACTAAGGAAAGAGTGTAAGAAAAGAAAGAGAACTAGAAAAGAAAGAGTGTGACAAAAGAGAACGAGAAAAGAATGTAAAACGAAAATAAAAGAGACTGTGGAAGAAAGAGTTCGAATACAGAAATCGGCGAAAGGCATCGAAACAAAAACGAATGAACAAGAACAGTTAAAACATTTAATATCTGCTACTTGTTATGGCACAATCCAAAACATTTGGAGCACCTAGAAAGGATCAAAGTCACTTCATCTCAATAAATGGTATACTGCAATAAATATTCTCCAAAAGCGCTTCGCCAACATAAATAATTTCTTATATCAAATTGCTTCATGGACGTGAGTTTGCAAAGTTTGAAGATCTGCGAGAAGAGCGATTAAGACGTTGCCATCAAAACAATGTATTTCCCATAGATGGCAACGTTTTATCGTCAAATCGACCTCGGCATACCTGATTAAACTCGGACTGTCAAAAATAGAAAAGAAGAAATATATTAAGAGTCTCCAAGTTCAAGCAGGATTCTCCGCGTATTTGACACTTCCGCACCGTGGCAGTAAATTACCAAATCATCTTGATATTGTGAAGTATTGACGAGGCACCTTGGAATAGGTATAATTATAATTCCTGTCTGAATTTCTAGGACGAAAAGTTATTTAAACTATTTACATGTAGACTATTGTCCTCGTCTTTGTTGTTGGTATCACGTTTCGGCCGTTGTCCTCTCCGGCCTGCATCAGGTGTATTTCGATTTTTTTTTTTTGCAACTTACAGTGAATTCCGTACTGAACTCATTAATTAATGTACAGTTGTAGACTATTCTCGTTCTACTGCAGATGCCTAGGGATATCTTGTCTAGTTCTTAATTCTAGTACTGTTGTTGTTCGTTGTATAATGAGGAGAAATAACAAAAAGACAAAGCTTATTAAGAACTACAAAGGACAAGAAATTGTGGATAGCCATGATCTCCTCCTACGTCCTGGCACATCAAATAAAAGAAATAGTAAATCAACTAATAAAAACACGACAGCGACAGCGACAGAGACGATCTGGTCATTTTTTTAACGATGATACGTACTCTGAAAACCAGGAGCAAAATAAAAAAAAATATATTTTGACAACCCTGAATTTGGTTGTCTTCAATTGATAAAAAGGTTATAAAAATGTAAAAACAATCTTAGTGGTTCTACAGAAGGATGTTGAGCATACCATGGACCGAATATGTGAAAGACGACGAAGTTATAGATAGAATGAGAATAAAAAGAAAATTTTCTTGAAGGCATTTCACACCAATCAAGCCAGGGTTGACACAAGTACTCAAAGGAGCTACAGGGAATGTAAGTAAAGGAAAAAAAAAACAGGGTATAGAGGAATTGAGGAAAGACTAAAAAGAAGAACGGAGAAGGATAAAAAGAAGAACAGGGGTCGAAGCAACAGAAGTTGTCGATTGACATTACATTTAAATCTTTGACGATTATAGTTGTCAAGGAAGCAAGTAATAGGAAGGGAGTTTCATTGTCGGGAAGTGTGGTAGAAGAAGCTTTTGGAGTAGAAGGGGCGGTGGGATTTAACTGTTTCGACAGTAAAAGGATGGGACCAAGATACCAACCTAGTAGCAGGCTTAAATTCATGCAGTCGGAGCAGCAGTAAAAACAGCTCGTGAGAGAATATGGCACGAAAATATTTATAGAAATGAGAGAGAGGGAAGCAACATTACGTCGGTGAGAAAGGGACTGGAGTCGAGACCCCAAGTCATGACCGATCACATTGCATATCTGTGTTTGAATTTTGTCGAGTACCTCGAGATGAACAGTGGGGGCAGCGTACCATATATGGCAAAAGCGTTTACATGTAAGGACAAATGGTAGATTTGTAGATGTGAAAGATGGACTTAGATCAGAAAAATCAGTTGAAATTTCTGGAGCACATAACGAGGAAAGAGGACTTGGAAAATTTGATACTCACAAGACAGGTTGAAGGCATGAGGGTCACAGGAAAGCAGCGTATAACATAACTAACGAGCTTAAGTAATTGGAGGGTGGAACTAGTTTTAGGAGAAACCTTTAGCTACAAAGGACATGAAATTGTGAAGAACGGACACAGTACATAGAAAAAATATCATGCGATTGTTTTTTAAAAAAATATCTGACTATGAGACGAAACTTGTTTTTCGCATACTTTAATTTTTAACACTTAGATATTATTTTTAAATACTGTCGTTTATTTCGATTTTTCAAAACAAAACCTTCTTACTTTCAGTTTTATTTAAAAACCAGAAGCACGTTCAAGGAAATATAGAACGCGAACACTAAATAGAAAATGACATATATAAAATATTTAAAATGGTGTGGTTATCCTACAGTACTAAAGCTGTAACAAGGCACCGCTTTTCCAACGAAGGGTTATTTTTCTCACTTTCTCCTTCACTTGCTGACGTAACTAGCGTGTTGATTTAAGATCCCTTAACTGGAGAAATATTCTAGCTAGTACCAACAAACTTGATACTGTTATCAGTGAATATCCACCCATCTTTCGACCCAAAAAAAGTATTTATTTCTTTCGGCTCTAGTTTTTGAGAGACTCTCTTCTGCATATGTAACTTAGCATCGGAACCTTCAGCGAGAGTTTGGGTGAGAAATTTTTGAGCAAACTCAGACGTTGGGAAGAGGTTATAAAAGTAAAAGTTAGAATAATATTTTGTGATTATTTTCTTTAAACGAATGTCGATCAGAGAGATTTATCTCTTCCAATTCCATTTTAAATGTATCAGTAGAATTCCTCCGTTCATCGACGCTACTAGAGTATATCTACTGTCCATTTTCTAGCATAGTATATCTACTATTCATTTTCTACTATGGTAGGACATTTAGCATCTGTTCGAAGTATGAAATATATTAGGGTTAGGTTTAGGTTTAGGGTTAGGGTCAGGAGTTAGGGTAAAATCCAGTGAACAGTGAGCTGGTTATGTAGTAAAAATCATTAACAATGTTTTATATAAAAAAAAATCAAGTAGCGATTTTAATCTTTGTGCACTGATTTCCTGTCATTAAAAAAAAAACAGTAAACATGTCATCGTTTTTCTTGAGCATTTTCCAGCAATAATGAATGAATCGTCACTAAAGGTAGCTCGCAAATACCTCGGTACGTATAATACTATAGTAACACCCGGTCATCTTTAGTC